AAACAATAATAAAACTCTCTTTTATTTAGGTTTTAAGTAGGGTTATATGAAAAAAATGAAAAATAAAAACTCTTCAGCCAGATTATATTTTCTCAGTTTTCAATAAAATAATTCTTTTAAAATATATTATGCTTTTAAAATATTATCTAAAATATCATAACCAATTAGTCTTAAATCTATCATGACTGTTGCTCCCTTAGAATGAGAATTTCCATTTGTAACACTTACTTGCACCAGTAATAATAATGCATAAGTGGTACCTCATACAAAAATCTGTATCCTGCCTGTAATGTATGTTGTTGGAATTAAACCCTATTCTCTTTCCCGAATCTTTGATCAATTCATGTTTTCTTCAAGATCAAAAAGGCAAATTAGACTGCAAATTAGTCCAAGAAAGTCCAATATAGCTCAGAGGAACTCAAAATATTCAACCAACTCCAGCCCTTTTATTCAGGGTAGATCTAGCTTTTCATCCAGATTATGGGAAAGAGGCAAAGGCAATACTGATATGTTCCTAACTCTAGGTAGGATACAGAAAACCAGGGCATGGGGTGGGGAAAGAAAGAAAGATTAAAAACAGAGGGGGGAGAAGAAAGAAAAAAAAAAAAGGGAGGTGAGCAAGAGAACTCGGGTAACCAAAAACTAAAGAGATTTTATCTCCAGCAAATATGTGTAGATGTGGCAATTTGTAGCCTTGCCTAAGCCCTTAAAGACTATTAAAGAAATGCAGCTTAAGATAAGTACATGTTAACATTTAAAAATCTAGCAATCGATAATCTTATTCAGATTTCCAGCACTGATTTTGAAGCACATTTTCAAATTTACCATGTTGACACACCATTATTTTCTGGAATATAGGTTTATCTCTTATGGCGTTGTACTCGAGATCAGCCACTGGGTCTTATTTGCATATGGTAACGGGCATTCCTGTTCATTCCTTCTCATTCTATCAATTCTTTGCTGTTGCATAGCCCCATGATAGATTCAGCATAGAAAAGAGGTGGTGTAAAACATGAAGACTGTGTGTTGCTATTTGCAGAGAAAGTGGGAAAACACTGAAAGTGGCATGTCTGTACAAAGCATTAAGCCCTTTGATCTGGGTGACTTGACCATCACATCATAGAAAAATCTGGGTTGATGACTAGATGACATGAAGATCCCATCATTGAACAAAATGGCCACAGGTCACGTGATGCAAACTTGCCATCATGTACTAAGGGGTGACAGAAAAGACTCATTACCAGTGTATAAACCTCTTGGAGTGTGATTAGACTCATTTGGCATTCTGCATTATTCCCATCAATAAAAGAGAGTGGAATGTAATGTGCATAAGCCATGACTGGAGGAGTGCCAACTCCAGTGAGAATGCAGTTTCCAAATTCAGCATCATGTTCCTGGCTGCTGTGACCAGCAGTGCAGGTTGTATTACGGAAATTGAAAATTATAATCAAATTAAATATGTCACAAATAACAAAATGTTACATATTCATTTTGGCTTGCACTGGGTTACTTACTACATAGAGAGATGATATAGAGACTGCAAGGAAAATAATTTATTACTATCTGGATAAAGCAAATCAAAAGACAAATGTGGACACTGGAAAATGGCAAAAGAGCTAAAAAAGTTTACACAATATAACCTTGCAAAGGGTAGGTACAGAGTCTTGTCACTTCACAAGAGTGTTTGCGCGCACTTGAACTTTGTGCCATATGACTTGGAGAGCAGCCACTTACATAAATGAATGCTGTGATGCAACCAGATCCAAGGGGTTAATAAAACATATAACATATGTGAAGCATACAACATGTGTTTGTCATTTAGAGTTTAAATTCTAAATTCTTTTCATTCATGGAATGAGCGCATCGTTACTTTCTGTTAAATATATGCTCCATGTATAATCATAAAAAATATGGTATTTTTGAAAATCCAGCACTCCTCAGTTCCGGAAGTTACCCAATTTTTAAATGTCAACCTGTACCTTCCCTGTCATGTTATGAAAATCTTTGGCAAATCAAATTTAGTCAGGGTGAGACTAATAATTCATGAAAAGAATTCCAATAAAGTTTAGGAAAGGTTTTGGACTGTGATACACATGACAAGATGGTCTGCCTCTTTTTTAAGACAATAGTAAGTAATATCTTCCGACAAGGTATTCTTTTTCTTATGCCGGATTCTTATGGACTAAATAAATCCATTAATCTTTGATATGACACTTAAAAAAGTTTCTTTGCAACCCATCAATGCAAAAGTTTTGTACATTTCATTTCTACTTGTGTCTTTTCTTTTTTGTGACAAGGAGCAACTCTGCGCTCCATCCACGAAGATGAGCAGTGTGAGGCACACAAATAAAAAGGAATGTGTGAGCCAGCCCCCTGAGGCCGAGCCTTCCGAGTCTACCTGCAAAATAAGATACATACATACATGTATGTATGTATGTAGCAAAACAAAAAAAGTCACAGTCACAAGTCCTACACTGTCACTCATATGCCAATCACAGCT